GCAGGCCGTGACTGCTGCATGACTTGTACCTAGAATAGAGTCTGGCATGCTCTTGGCCACAACAAATATTACATCAATGACCAAATTAAAGATGAAATGAGTATCCTTAATAGTTAGGAAAATATATACAGACATTACCTCCATTGAAATACTTGAAGCTTTTGATTAAATTCAATTCTATTATTCATTCACTCATTTAGTCAAAAGTATTTGTTGAGCGCCTATTACTAGTTCATTATTAAGGTTCTGTGGATACACAGGGAAGAAGAAAAATCTTGTTCATCTACTTAAAAGCTTATAATGAATCAAAGAAAAACCTAATAGAAAAGCATATAAATAAATGTATAAGTAGTAGTTGCGATAAGGGCCATGCTAGATAAAACCAAGTCACAATGACAGTTGGGACCTGTGATGTAGGGAAGGCAGGACACCTGGTAAGTAGTGAGCAGTGTCAGGAAAGAGCACAAAGTGAAAATGTTCTTCATTTACAGAAACTAGAGAGATGGTGAAAGTGTAGATAAGCCTCTGACTTCTATATGTACATAACCTCCCTTGGGTTGGTTCAGGGTGCTGCCAGCTGAGGGCCTAAGCAAGAGTCGGTCAGGCCCCTGCTCCTTCTCCCAGGCCCCCACACTACCCTCCCAGGTTTGCATCAGGAGCTGCAAAGCTCTGGCCAGTATTCTAGTTCTGGCCTTGCCGATTACTACTAGGGATCTGGAGTTGATCAAAACATTAAATTTTCCAAGTTTTCACCTCCTCTAGTCAATAATAGGAATGATGATCTGGGTCACATTGTTGGGATGATCAAATAAGATAGCATTTGAAACAGGTGGTGTAAACTGTTTACTGTGATTGTGAGGAGGAAGATACGTACCGGAGGTGACATGAATGCCAAGTTTCAACAAGTCTTTAAACCCTTTGTGGAAACTATCTAAAAGCAAATATCTGCACATTTTACAACACCCATGACAGTACCTGGAGCTATGGGTTCTCAATCAGAGGCACTTGCAAGTGTGCACAGGGGATGGTGACTGGAATCTTTTTTATGACACATGACTGAGACATGTACCGGAATGTAAAAGGCAGGGTTGTCAAAGATTCTGCAACATGCGGGCCACGTCCATAAGCCAAAGAACCATACCACCCAGCATGCCAATAGTGCCCTGGGAGCCACTGATGAATGCCCAACACAGAGGAAGAATTCAGTGAACATTTGCTAAGTTAATGAACATGACTTATACTATTTATCCCCTTCAGAGCACAGTGGTCTAACAGTCTCTTGAAATCAAGATTGTAGCTCATCCATCTTTGCCTTCTCGGGTCCCCAACCCTGAACCTGAGACATAACAAGTATTTAATGACTCTCTCTTAAACATTCAGTCACTATATCAAGGCAATCTATGGAACTGTAAGAAATTATAACTATTTGCCATGGGCAAGTTAAAGCAATGATGTTCAGCATGTTCTCTCCAGGTATAAGAAGGATAATGGAAAGACAGCACTAATACCTAGAAGTTCTAGGGAAATAAATGAGGTTTTGCTCCATCATCAGCTATTTAATTTCACTTTTGAAACATGGTTATCCTAAGAACAAAAGTAAGAAAAAGCAGTGCTTTATAAATATCTACATGCTTTATGGAGGTAAAATAATTTAAACCAGACACACAATTCCTCTGGATGTCAGTTTAAAAGTAGGTTGATCAAAATTAACCCACATGGATATCTACTTTATTTTGGGGAAAAAGTCAAAATAGCCACCAAACAGTACACAGAATGTATCATATTGCAAACTTTTGTGTTTCAAAAGAACAAAAGTAGTATTCTTAAGGGCTGACATAATGTGAGCCAAGCAAGTACTTAGAAGAGCAAAAAATACCTGAATGAAGGGTAGTATAATGCAATGGAAACAGAGAAAAGCAAGTATCAGAAGGTATTTTAAAGATTAGATTGTTTTTCCTAATTCAGAGAAAGGACATTTTATCAGAAGTTAAAGTAGGAAAGTACATACCAAGCCAATTACAGTGACATAGCAGAAATACAAGTAAATATTATAAAACAATATATGAAAGCAAACAAGCCCAGGTGAGGTGGCTTATGCCTATAATCCCGGCACTTTGGATGGCAGAGGCAGAAGGATTGCTTGAGACCAGGAGTTCAACATCAGTCTAGGCAACACATAGTGAGACCTTGTCTCTACCAAAAAAAAAAAAAAAAAAAACCTCAAAAAATTAGCTAGGAGTGGTGGCATGTCCCAGAAACTTGGGAAGCTGAGGTAGAAGGATCACCTGAACCCAGGGGGGTCAAGGCTGCAGCAAACTGTGTTTATGCCACTAAACTCCAGCCTGGGCAATAGAGTGAGACCCCGACTCAAAGAAAAAAGAAGTAAACAAGAAAACTGAGTTTACAGTAAGCTCATAGCATTAAAGAAAATATAAGTAGTAATGGGATAATTTTTCAGATTATTTTAAAGTTTTAAGAATAAAAATAGTTAATTACTGAAAATATGTTTTTAACTGATACTTCTTAACACTGAAGTGATTTTTTAAAACTGGAAATTCAATTGCAAGAATTCAAAACATTTATTGAATGACAAAGAAAATATAACCAAATTTAATTGCATAATAGAAGTTTTTCATGTATCAAAGTTTCCAAACACTGCTATGTTCTTAAACATAAATTAAACTGTCTATACCAATATAACCAGGAATAGCATCACAGGCATTTGTATGGCATGGTACACAAAAGAAAAAAAAAATCTCAGAAGAAAGGTAGCAAATAAGCAAATGAACAAATGAAAAACTATCATTCAGAATAGTCAAAAATTCAATACCATCAGAAAACTTCTTGTTTCTTTAAAAAAGTTAAATACACCATGTACGAACTCCTAACAATCTCCATTTTTTATGACCAGTTCACCTGAGCAAAATGTTAACATGGAACTAACATTCTTTTTCTGTTTATATACATCAGAAAAAAAAATTTATTTCTTATTGGCTATTTGAATGAATTCTTAGAAATTTACAGTAAGCCTGAAAAGGTACTGACAATATAATGAATTTCCTATCTTTTTAAAGCATCGGATTTTTTTTTAACAGGGAGGAGAGGGAGTATCATCTAATAAAACAGAAAATCAGATCACAGATAGACAAGAGCCACAATATTTCTTCAGGATGAACACTTCTGTTCTGGTAGATACAAAGATGAGTGTAATGGTTTAAATCATCAATCCCTTCCAGCCTTGCTTCCTCTCCACCTATTCTGAAGAGTACTTGATGAGAAAAGAACTTCTACTGAAATGAACTCACCTATCTACACAGCTTACTACCGGATTACAAGACTCATCTTGCATGAGAGCCCAAGCATATGCCATACAACTGGACACATGGCAAGCTTAGAGCAATTGATTACTATGTCTCTGGTTGTACTACTAAACAACTTTGACCCATCAGTGTGGCCAAATATAGGAGTTGCTGGCTGTCATTCATTTATAAGCTTATTGAGGCATTAGTGTTCTTATTTTACTTTTTAAAAAATTGCAAAAGAAACCATACAAAAGTTGATGTTATTAAACATAAGGTCTTTCTGCTTTGACTGTCATCACATACATACACAAACTCAGCTTTAATCTGAAAACTGACATCTACAAAAATTCCATTTTGTAAACACCTAGTTATAAAAAAAAAAGAACTTTCTGTAGTATAGCTAAAACTCTTACAATTCTTATGACATGGCAATCCTAATATAAACTCCACTTTAAAAGTTTAGCCCTTAAATAAATGTAACCTCACTGTCATCCAAAGTAGCTAAGTGGAGTATTTAATAATTTCACTGATTTTTTTATGATACCTTCTTTGTGACCAAAAGGTAAATGCACATTTGAAGAGATAATATGCATTATGTTTTTTGAGTAATGTGATCTGCTAAGTGATAAAACTTTTGGCCCTGATCTCACAGACATTTTTGCTCCATAGGAACCCGCTTGCAATCTAAACAAAAAATAATCAAAATTTAGTGTTGGATAAAGGAAAGATACAACATTGTGAATGTCTGTGTCCTCAATGTAAAACTAATTGTCAAGTAGTGGTGACCAAGTATATATATTGCTTGAAACCACAAGCTAAGGAGATGTGATCTCAGGGATCATTTCCCCAGACATTCTTCATTTTCCCTGCAAGCCCATAAGGATGGTCTCTCAAGTCTACTAAGACATTTGCCACTGTCAACTTCAAGCCTCCTTTCCAACCATCAATTCCTTACTACTAGGAGTTTAATGTCAAGCTACAGTCAACATACCCCTTTCCTTCTTCTAACTCAAAACTATATCACCTTCAAGAAAAGGCATTGTCCACCATTTTTACCTTCTATGTTTCTGAAGGGGGCAATTTGTTAATGTCCTTAATGATACTAACACAATTAAACTGTATCTACTCAGAAAGGCCTACCTTCAAAATAGCAAATAACACGTATATGTTGGTTTTTTTTTTTTAAACCCAAAGGCAACCTACTTATGATTTATTTTCACAATGACATCTCAAGGTCTTCAGAAGGAAGACTGATATTCTGTGCAAATGGTCTGCCTTCCCTGTGCCGCTACTATTCCTTCAGCAAATAACTTGCCTAGCCTGTGACACGAGTTCATACCGTACAAAAATGTCATCGAATGACTGCCTTTTCTCTTCTACATACATATCTATAGCTTAAAGCAACGCAGTTTTCTTGCAGAATTTCTCCCTTCCCCCCCTCCTCCCCTCGGTTAACTGCCCACTCCATCCCTAAAACACTTTCCCCCAAAGTAAGGGGCCTGCAAGCCTGGGGGATGCTCTGCTCCCGCAGCTGTCACCGCGGAGGGCTGGCGCGCATGCGCAGCGCCAGCAGCCGCGAGTCTCAGGCCGTTGGCTGGGCGGGTCCGCGGCCCGAGGTCGAGCCGAACGGCAGTGCTGTACTGGGAGGGCGACGCCCGCGAGGGTAATGCGGCGTGCAGGGCGGGTGGGCACACTCACAATTTCAGCATCCACTCGCCCTCCATCACCAGCGTCCAGTTGGAGGCGGTCATGGGCTGGACGCGGCTCTGCTCCGCCGGCAGCGCGGCCTGCTCGGGGCCCGCCGCCGCCGTCGCCGCCGCCACCCAGGCGGCCAGGAGCGCCCTCAGCCGAGGGCCGTAGCGCCCGTCCGCCATGCTGGGACGCGAGCGAGGCTCCTCTGGCGGGGTGTGGGGAAAGAGAGCGGCTGGGTCAGCGGGACCCGGCCTTTCAAGGCAGCGAGAGACGCCTGGGCAACCCCACCTCCGCCCCGCTCATCACACGAGCCCCGCTCGCTGCGCCGCTGCGGGCGCCGCCTCTTATCGGCCCGGGCCTGTCGAGGCCACGCCCCCTCCCGCCTCGACTTGCCGTTGCCCGGGGTGTCTGTTTCCCTGGCAACGGCCGCCCTTTCTTCCAGACCGCCAAGCTGACAATAAACAGATGACCCAATGTTGCTTAAGTTAGACCTGCACCACTGGTGTTCAGACTCCAGTGAGGGGGGTTGACGCGTGTGAGCTTCTCTAGAGAGAAACGTGGCCAGTCCTGTTAGCATCCATCCCCTCTTCAGTGGTAGCACACATAACAGCGATGGACTGCAAAGTAGACTTAGGTTTAATGAAAAAAATGGAGGGATGTGGTGAGCATCTCTTGCTAAAAGAGAGGAAATTTTAAGTACTCTCAGCCTGTGTATATTGGAGTATCACTGCCTAATTGGGAATAATGATGAAATTAAACTATGCAAATTCTTTTCTACAAAAATGATTCTAATTTTCTAGAAACTTTTAAAGCGTGAGTATTAACATAAAATGAGTCAGTTAATAAGAATATTGCCACTTGCAGTAAAATTGACTCCATATTTCTCTCGGCTGCAGTTTTGTCAGATCTAAAATGAAAGTAACCTTAAATGATTTTCAAATTTATTTTCAGGTACACATTAAATGAACCTGTCTCAGACCACCACACCATTGTCTCTAAGATCAGATTATAATTAGAGGGTGGGAAAGCTTTTTCAAAGGGTGTTTTGTATTCGTTTACTAGGTGTGCCAACCATGAAACTCGGTATTGTGGTTCATAGATCATGAAAAAGATGTGGTTTCTGTGTTGGGCTTAAAACCCATACAGCTATACAACAAAGAGTACTTCAGGGTACATAAAATCAATCTTCAATCAGTACTTATAAGAGAGAATGGTTAATTTTGCCTGCAGAGAAGATCTAACCTGAATTAGGTGTTAATTAGTAATAGCTAAAATCTATGTGAACCCAGTTCTTATATCAAAATACAACACTCAAGGGTTTATAAACTACCACAAATTAGGAAAATGTCTTTACAGTGAATGCCACTAAGATTCACACTTATGTACATACAGAACAATCCTATAAACTGAAACGAAAACATTTTACTGTGCTATTAAAACATGAATTCTATCATTTTTTCAGTGCAACTTTTTTGCATAAGATATGTTCTTGGTTTAAAAAAAGTTCTGGCCGGGCTTGGTAGCTCAGCCTGTAATCCCAGTACTTTGGGAGGCCTAGGTAAGTGGATTGCCTGAGCCTGCAGGTTCCAGACCAGCCAAGCAATTTAGCGAGACCTCTCGTCTCTACAATACATCAAAAATTAGCCAGAGATGGTAGCGCATGCCTGTAGTTCCAGCTACTTGGAAGGTTGAGGCGAAAGAATCACCAGAGCCCAGCAGCTTGTCGCTGGGGTGGCTGTGAGTGTGCCACTGCACTCCAACCTGAATGACAGAGAGAGAGAGACTCCAACTAAAAAAAAAAAAAAAAAAGTTCTTAAAAATAGTACCTGAGGACAACCTTTTTGAGTGCCCTCTCACTGTGGGAGATTTTCTGTCTTCTAAATAAATCCTACTTTCTTACACACACACGAAAATAGTACCTGATATTAAGGAATTGCTGTTAATTTTGTTGCATATGGTAAAGATATGGGCCAGGCATGCCTGTAATCCCAGCACTTTGTGAGGTCTAGGAGGGAGGGTCATTTGAGGCCAGGAGTTCAAGACCAGAAATAAAATGTTGAGAATAGAGGGAAGATGGATGAGATGAGAGTGGTACAACGTCAGTCAGTGTTGAAGCTAAGTTCATTCTGCTATTTTATCTACTTTTGCATATGCTGGATATTTTGCAAAATGAAAAGTTAGCAAGAGCGCATCTGAGGCACAAAAATAACTCATTGCTGCAGCACTTCCTATCTCTAACACAAATTGTGCATTCAAGATTGCATTTCTTAGCCTTCAGACAGAGGATGGTAGGAAGGAAATAAAGTAAGAGTGTTTGGGAGCCAGTTTGTGATTAAGAGTCACAGACCAGTTTAAGGGAGGGGTTACTGTCATACCATGATTGGCATCTCAGTCTTGACACTTCCTAGCCATGTGATTTGGTACTAAAGCTAGTTAACATCAAGGTTCTGTTTAAATGCAGTTTATAATACAGCCTGCTCCAAAAGGTGGCCATGAAGATTATGTGAGTTAAGAATAATGCCTAGCACATCATCTGACTCAAAAAGGTTATGTATTATTATTTGGAGGCAACAATATACTGTAATGTGTCTACTTTTCCTAGACTAAAATCAAATTTGCTTAACATGATACACAGTGTCCTTCACAATCTGGTTATCGTTTTGCCCACTTCACAGTTCACCATTCCTACAATCCCCCACATTCCTGTAGCACAAAGGTACTCCCCATTCCCCAAGTACACGGTGTACTTTTATGCCTCTTTGCCTCTTCATTCTGCTAAAAACACTCATTTATATTTGCCTAGTGAATCATTATTCAGCTCTATCATGCAGATCACTTTGTACCTCTGCTAGCCCATGTAGAATGATCTCTTCTCAGATTCAGTAACTGTCCAGTGTAACTTTACCAGACCTCTTGTAAAGTATAATGTAATTACATGTAGTAATCACCCTCTCCCCACTGGTCCAATCCCTATTAAAAACTCTTCAAGATTAAAGGCTTTTTGTTATGTATGTTTGTGTCTCCTGCATAGCAGAATATCTATCCCAAAGCAATACTTGGGTTAGGCAGCTTCTAACACTGCCCCTAAAATCTCCACTTCCACTTCCTGATGTTCAGGCCCTGTGGAATCCTCCCCTCTTAAGTGTGGTTTGGGTCTGATTATTCACTTCTAAATAACAGAATATGGCAAAAGTGATGGGTTACCATTTCTGTGGGAAGGTTACACAAATCTGTAACTTCTTTCTTGCTGGAACCTTCTTTCCCTCGTGCATGCTCACTCTGAGACTCTATAGAAAGCTCCATGTGACAAGGAACCAAAGGAGGCCTCCAGCCAACATGTCCTGAGAAACTGAGGTCTCAGTCCACCAGCCCTCAAAGACCTGAATCCTGCAAACAACCACGAGTGACCTAGAAGCAAATTCTTCCCCGGCACTCTTGAGATGAGTGAGCCCTCTACATGACCCAAAACCAGGGGCTGCAGCTTAACTGGGTCTTCTGCCCATAGAAACTGTGAGATGATCATCAATGTTGTATTAAACCACTAAGATTTAGCATAATTTATTATGCTACAATAAGTAACTAGGACAGTGTGCAATCAATTTCATATTTAAAACATGGATTTACTGTTGTGTTTGTTTGTTTATTTGAATCAGTCTCATTCTGTACCTCAGGCTGCAGTGCAGTGGCACAATCATAGCTTACCACAGCCTCACCTCCTGGGCTCAGGCAATTCTTCTGCCTCACCCTTCCAAGGTGGCTGGAACTATAAGCACGTGCCACCACACCCAACTAATTTTTTGATTTATCATAGAGAAGAGGTCTCACCACATTACCCAGGCTGGTCTTGAACCCTTGGGCTCAGATAGTCCTCTCACATCTGCCTCCCAAAGTGCTGGGATTATAGGCAGGAGCCACTACACCTGGCTTGGATTTACAGTTTTAAGAAGATCGGTACCTGGTACTAGAAGAAAGAGCTTCTGTCCCCAGAGTAGTTTGCAATAGTGGCACCGCAGAGCTGCCATGGTCACACAAAAATACATGGTGCCTAGTAGGAAATGGAATTCCTTGAACTCTGGTGAAGTAACATCATAGCGGGAGAGAGAGTAAGAGTGTGGTAGAATCATATCCAGGCCCCTTCTCTTTCCCTACCCTGCAGAGGCATATGCTTCTATGCTCCTTGGAAGTTAAGCATACCAATATGAATAGTTCTTGCCAATGGACTACAAACAGAAGGAGTGGGGGAAAGGACAGACTGAGAGTGGGAAGCCATTTTCATCTTGTTCTTAAACCCTGACACAATGATAAGAAAGTAGAAGCTATGCTTTTGGAGAAATGCATATTTTAGGTAAAATTAACTTTACTGACTTTGTCTTTTCAGAAAAAGACTTCCTGGTGCCAGGTATCAGAGGTGTCTCATAGTGACAATCAAGCTTGCCTAGAGTAAAGGGAATTTACAAGGCCTAAGATATCATGCATTGGGCAAGGATTGTAAAAGTCATGAAACTTGTAATACAAAAGTTATAACCGCTCAGAGGGGGAGCAGGTGGGGATTCGATCTTCCAGTAAATTGGGCACTATTTACAGGGAAGCCAAGGATCCCCTGAAGCTACCCACTGGGAATGCCTAGGAGACAAGGGGAAGTGCACCCTCCATTAGCTCTAAGGAATGTTGTTCGGGAAGGTACAGGAGAATTAGATTCCTTGTCACACCCTTCTCTAGGAGCTATGGTAAGGTGGGCAGACATTAGTGGGTCTTTGTGTCACAGGTTCTCCAAGACATCCACAGGTGGTCGGTAAGGAAGTCACAGCAGTTACATGCAACATCTCCAAGGAAAGGATTTAAGCCAGGAATCTGGGGGACTACAACGCCATACTCACCTAGAGTGTAGGTCCACTCCCTGTCTGTGGGGGTGAAGCTTTCTTAAATAAATATTTTCTTCTCTCACCTCTTTGTGTTGCAATTCTTTGCATTTACTTGGCTCTCCGGCTCTGGCAGTGCTGCACCTGCATCCCTGTGCCTCTCCTCTCTCTCTCTCTCTCTCTCTCTCTCTCTCTCTCTCTCTCTCTGCCCAGCCACCCTTACCCTGTCCATACCCTAACAGTGGGTACAAATCACTTCTAGGTTTAAGAAGAGTTTAATCACTGGTGCAAGGTTCTCCAGTGTTCCTTTCTTCTGCTATGGAAATTTTAGAACAAAAATCATAATCTAGGAATCTATAAGACCAGAGTAGCCTAGATTGCTGAGCTACTTTATACATGATGGGGGGAAAAATCCAAATCCTGCCAAAATATTTTTGAAGAGATTTATTCTAAACCAAATATGAGTAGCCTAAGCCCATGGCACAGTCTCAAG